CTTTGTTCAAAATGGTTCATGCAACCTGTCACTGGGCTGAAACTTGAAACCTTTTCAGCTTGCTAGGATCTGCCAGGGTTTGTTTTCTGCTGACATATCCTTCAAGAACCTAGGATCCCTTTCAGTTCACAGGGGAACATAAGGAGAACCATAGTAAGATATAAATGAACCAATTTATGAAAAAGTATGGTACTGACTTGTCAACTGTGATCTTATTGATTCTATGTACAGACTCAGAAATGACACTGGATATTCTATTTTTATTTTGGTTCCATTTTGTCTTCCCTAAGGAAAAAATTAAATATCATTTAGAGCATAAACATACATCTGCAAAACTAGTTACTTCAGTTTAGGCATCAGTGCTAACATGTGAGTTCAACATCATTTTTACTATTATATGGGAAAACCCTTAAAATAATTCAGAAACTTGGACTTGAGATAAGTTTTTGGCAAATGCTCTCAAGACTCTGCTAGTTGGAGACAACACGGCAGCCCTGAAGCAAGAGTTTTCCCAATATGGCAGAGCCCAATCAGAGGTTAGTATGATGTGAAAGGGATTGGTGATAAGTAGAAAGTATGCAAAGGAAATAATAAGGGTTTTCAAGGTCAAAACCTGACTGCTTTTAGTCAAAGCTTATTGTTGGACTAATGGAAAATATCTGTACACTCTTTAATACTCCTACATTCACACACATGCAAAGAGATGTACATGTACACACACACACACACACACACACATATACATTTTAAATTATCTTTTGCCTTTAACACCTCATTTGTTTCTAAATATACCCTCCTCTCACCTAGCCAGCTATCCTTTCAAAGAAAATTCTAAAAAGAATGAGAAAAAAATTCCACAAAATAAACAAATCACCTCTGTTTGACAGAATGCGCAATAGTCCATAAGCATAACTACCCCACCTCCCTATCTGTAGTAAAAGGTAGAAGGTATGTCTTTACCACTTTTCTCTAAAGCCAAACCTGGTCATTATAATTACACAGCATTTTCTCTGTGCTTTTTAACATTTTATAGCCAATATGAAAAAAAAAGTTTGCCAATTTATGTTTTGAAGTATATTTATCATTGTTACTTAATATTATCCCTAGCCATCACAGTCAGCACCATACGGGAAGCAGCTGGAGTGTCCCTAGTGTGGCTGCTTCAAGGCCCATCAGCCCCTTTAGCTAACATCTGGTTAGCAGCAAAGTTTTAAACCAAATCAGTTTTGGAAGTGCAAACAAAACTCTATAGCTCTTGCTGCAATAAAAATCGATAAAAATTGCACCTTAACCACAGTTCTCAGGAAAAACTACTAAGCACCCATCAAATGTAGTAAGCCTTTATTTTCAAAGCTGTTGCCAGAATAATAGATACCACCCACCAAACATCCTTCTGGCATGTTATGGCACAGAACCAGGGGAGCCCATTAATTTATGGGAAGTAACTCTGGAATGTACTTTCAACATAACCTTTACAAATTTACCCCAGTCTCAAAGAAAGTTGCACAGTCTGGTAGCAAGAATTGGTGGCTTTATTGATGCAAAACAATAAAACCCTTTTTATACTTTCTTAAGAATTTTTTCCCACATTGGGAAGATTAAAAAAAAAAACTAATATGACTTTTTAGGCTTTGGGAATTTTTTTTAATGCAAGCTTCTTATCAATAGCATATGTTTAGTATGTATAGTGAATCCTTAAGTCTACTTCTGTGTATTAGCTTGATCAATCACCTAATTATTCAGAAGCTGAACAGACACACAGGACTTTTACTTAACAAGAAAATAGCTTAGCTGCACCTGCAGATTGCTGCTAAAGTAATCACCAAGCATCAAGCAGCGTAAACAAAACAGAAATAAATGTGAAGATCCTAGTACTAACAGACTGATCTTGCAGAGGTTGTGAGTCTAATATCCAAGTCTTTGCCAGGCCCTTATCGTATCATGGCTGGGTTATCATAACCTTCTCCTTGATCATCTCCCTACCCACACTTCTAACCAATCCCTACCATCCAATATCTTCTGAGTGCTGCTGCCAAAGCTGTCAAGTCACCAGGCTGACCCTGCCAATCTCCTCCTTAAAAAGGCTGTAAATGCTGCAGATTAACTTCCAAGATCCCTACATTAGGTTTTGGAGCCCTTTATCTGTATGCTCAAGGCTTCTTTGGTCTTCTCTCACGCCCAGGAAGTACCTCCCTGGATTTATCTCAAAGGAGAGAGATAAAATTTCCAGAAATTCTGAAACCATCTACAAATACCTACTTAGCTCTTTTGGAGTATAGGAATGGCAGGGAAGATGATTGGAAATTTGTACAAAAATAAAAATGTAGACAGTGCTTTTTAGTACCCTTCTGAATTTAACAAGATTCAAATGAAATGAATGAGATTAACCATGAACAAAAGAAAACAAACTGAAAAAAATGATGGCCAAACATGAATGACAATCCTAAGCTTGCTAAAGCTTGTCCTGTAAGCCTACAATGCCTCTTCAAAATCTAATCAGCAAACTATCAATGTAAAGTATAGCTGATGAGTTAAACTGTAATTTAATTAATTGTAACAGGTAAACTGTCAGATGATGTCGTAAAGTGATTTTGCTGACTGAGAAATAATATTGAAAATAGTGAGTAAAAAAATTTGTCAGTAATTGTCCAGTATTGTCCAAGGGAGAAAAAGACTAGAGCTGATAGACAGGTGCATTCTGCTATACTGTAAAGAGAAGCAGTGTGGTAATACTGGATTTGGCACCTGGGAATTTGGGCTCCCTAATCATTACTGGTATAACCATGGGAAAGTTGTATTAGGAAGGTATGATTCATATCTTCCATCTGGCTGGAAGCCCTTCATTTTCTCTAAGCTCCCTTATAGTTCTAATTCTATGAGCCTGATTAACTATTTCAGCTCCAATATGAAAGCATCTGTACTGCTCAGTATGGAACCACCAACCACTATTTCTCCCTTCCTAGAGGTATTACTTGGATTCTTCTTACTTGTGAGGGTCTATATACTGAACATGAGCTTCTGTTGTTTCATCAGAGAGAAGCCAGCTTCACTCTCCACCAAGAGAAGACTGCATGCTTGTTGTATTGCTCCAGTGGGAGGGTCTCATCTCTGTTCCACTCTTCCATTTACTAAATTAAAGAACTAATACTGGCTCTGAGTCCTACCTGCCCCTATGGAATCTTTTCTTGCTGGCTTCTTCCCTAGATTATTTCTTTGCTTTTCAATTAATTTTCTTTTTTATTATGAAATTAGAAATCAATAAACACCAACATTTCCATATATGAAGAACATGAAAGAGGTCTTGTATAGTTTAAAAATATGTGTGTATGTGTTTATATAAGTCACATATATTACATACATATGCATATATATTATATAAAATCTAACAAAGTGGTAACAACTGTGCTCTAATTTTTCTGTTCCCTATTGCACTATTTTTCTTTTGTGCAGTTTTTAAAAAATCTTGTTGATACTGGTTTTTTTTCCAGCTAATCAATCTATTGTTCCCCACTAGCCTACCCTATTTGCCCCTCTGTGAAATGGGGATAATAATAGCACAAACCTCCTAGGATTGGTGTGAGGACCAAATGAGATAATATTTGTAAAGCACCTAGCATAGTGCCTGGCCCATAGCAGGTAATTAATAGTTTATTCCTTTCCCTTTCCCTCTCCCTCTCCCCGCCTCCCCCCAGAATGAAGTCTTAACAAATATGGATAGTCCAGGAGGAAAAAAAAAATATCAATTCATTGGCTATGTCTGAGAATGTATAACTCATTCTGAATCTCTAGTCCATTACTTCATTTTTTCTACCTTATTTAGGAACCTTTTATCCTCTCCAAGGGATAAAGGACTTAGGACACCAGATTACATTTGTAAAATTTAAGTGGTAACTTAGGCTGAAGTTGTCTGTATTACCAGACAATAAGCTGTCTGAGGATAGGGATTTGTATTGGTAACCTCTTAGAAAAAAAAAAAATCTTGATTAAGGCCTAATGTTCTGCACATAGTAGGTGCTTTAGTGTGCTCATGTGTGTGCATGTGCATGTGTGTGTGTGTATTTGAAAGAATAACACATACTCTGCAAGTCACTAGAATAAATTTCTTGGTTTACTGTTATTTTGGACTCAAGATGAACTATTATAATCTGTTAGTAGACTAGAAAAACATTCCTGGAACTGTTTCAAAAATCATCTCTCATATTTTCTTTCTTCAAAAGTGCTGCTTTTATATGCCTCTTTAGCCCTGTTTGTCCACTTGCCAAACTTCTGGGCCATCCTGTGGGTCAAGCACTCCTTTGGTACGTAGTCACACACAGAGCACTCAGCAGTCTCTAACCTCTCACTGGCACTCAGTCTACAAAATAACAAAAAGCAACAGCTCAACTCATGATCAAAAGATAATAGCAATTATTTGTGTGACTGCTCAAGCAATGTGCTATTATTCAAAACGGTTAAACGGATACAAAAAAACATGGCGTATATCCAGGATCCCCAACTTCCCTAATAAAAAATCTACTTTCCTAGGAAAAGGACTGTTTTCATGAAATTAGTCCCAAAATGTTGATTTTAGAAAAAAATGAAACAAAAAAATCCCTATTCATTTTCTTTCTCTGTGTTTTACTGATGCCCTTTATTATACCAATTTCCTATTATTTTTTCTTCATAAGCTTTGAAAAAAAAATCTTACTTGATCCCTCATTCAAGTTTGAAAACGAAACTTTCAACACAAATATGCAAGTTTGCCACACAAATTCAGAATAAAGCGTGCGCTTAGAGTCCAAGATGTCATCATTATGGTTTATTCTTTCTGGAAACAGAAATGTTGCTAGTCATGCTTTTAACATGGATAAAAAATAATTTAGCTTCAATATTCCACATCAATGATGCTTTTCTGAACTGGGGTTTTCAGAATGTTTTTATAGGTTTCTGCTGACCTGTGAAAGCAAGACACGATGAGTTTTCTAGAGAGTTTGTTTCACCCTAGAGAATTATCATCTTACCGGGGTTAGTATATAGCTGGCTTTCCACTGTTTTTCCAATACACTGAAGCTTCACAGCTTGAAGCGAGTCATCCACATGCATGATTGTTGGCAGACTGCCCAGAGTATCATGCACTAAGTTTGCTACCTCACGAACATCAAAGAGTTTCAACAGCTCAGAATACACTGCTGGGAAGGAGCTCAGGAACACAGCCTTAAAAAAATAAAAAAAAGAGGAAGGAAAAAGAATTAAAATTAACCTCAAATTACTACATGAAATGAGTTTTTAAATCTCAGTGTTCTGATGGATTATCTTAAGTATTTTAAATGATGGAGGGGGTGGTAGATTAGAGAAAATGTAGAGTACCTCAAAAAGAAGAGGTAAAATTATCGATTGTTAATTTTTTTAAGTGTAGTGGCTAGAACACCGAAAGAACTGGAAATTTGGGAAATTCACTGATAATGGTAGAAGGTTTGGGGAAAACCCAGCATCAGCAGGGGGCAGCACTGGGTTGTGGGAAGAGCACCCAACCAGAATACAGAGGATCTGGCTTCTATTTTTCAGCTCTGCCACTGACTAGAGGTGTGACCTTAGAGAAGGTCACTACAGTTATCCCTTCCACGTCACAACTTTCCCCATTGTGGTTTCCATATATCGAAGATTGGCATAAGAGATTAAAAGGGAATGTTTTTGAGGGTTTTGTGGAAGCCCCAGATGACACATGCAGGCCAGCAGACATCATAGAAAAAGTTTAGAAACTCAGGAATGCATAAAATATAGGTAAAGTATCATATAATACTAACTTATTTTGTCTTTTAATAACATAATAATTCAGATTTCTTCTCTGGCAGGGAGGACCAAAAGATTTTACATGGATTTTCCAGATCATGGGGGTACTGCACTCCTAACCCCCACGATATGGGAGGAGATAACTACTAATGTCTTACTACCTGGTACTTGTCCTGCCTCCCTGAAGAGTTTGTTGTGATGATGAAATGACATGACACATGAATGCACTTAGAACACCATGAAGTCCTATACAAACAAGGAATTATTATACTTTATCAAACTGGCTTCCTTTAAGAGCTAGTTAACTACACTCACAAAAAGTCCAGAAGCATGATTTAGGTGAGTAACCAATTCAAGTATACTTAATGCTACATTACGCTCTCCAACCTGTTATTACTAGTCTATATAACCTGGGGGAACTGATTTTAAAACTATAATTTGTCCCCATTAACTTCCTGGGGATGGGAGAGGTAGAGTTCCTACTGTCTATGTCCCTCTGATTGGAGGATGGGACCCAAAACTCCAAACTTCTATTTAAGGAAAGAGCTTGGCTCAGATGCGTCCTCACTTCTCACCTGGCTCTACTACTCTGGGGCTTCTCCATCATGCTCCAGGTTGAGTACCTTCTCCTCTAGACCCTAGTTTGACATCAGGCAGTTGTAGCAGTCACTGTAGACTGCCACAGGACAGTGAGGGAGCATGTAAGTACCACAGCATGCAGTTTGCCCTCGGCCCATGTAATCGGGGGCCAGAGTTCAAGAGATGAGGTGAAAAGGCAGCTCAGGGTTTCAGGAAGATAATCAAAACCATATTGACTCTGGTGAAATTCCTTCTACAACAGTGATGGGAATAAGCTGTCCAGCCACCAATAGCCTTTCTGGCAACCAGAAATGATGCTAATGCAAATCACAGTATCTTTTCAATTCAGATAGGAAAAAGTTGAAAATAAAGCAACTAAGTTCTGCTATTTAGGGCTGATGGAATGAAGAAAAAAAACTGTTCTAAATCACGACAGGTGCAGCTATAAGATGAAGCTAAATTATGTTTCTATGTAAAAATAAATAAACTGCAAACACCTTTCCCCCCTATTCAGCAGTTATCAAAAATTACCTGTGACTGAGACAAAGCTCCAGACCCTTTGCTTTCCTGGGAAAGGAAGAATCGTACTGACATGAGGAGCTCCTGAATGCAGCAGCGAAATTCTTCTTCATTTTGTCCACCAGTGGCAAGAGAAAACAACCTTCGAGATTGAACGATATACTTAAAAATATATTCCTGTGCCTAAAAGTGAAGGAAAAAAAAAAACACCTACATCAAAAGGAAACCCAGGCACCTTAACAAATGGCACAGCTCCCACTCCCCAAGAGATCATTCAAAAGAGTTTTTCAAATGAAAGAAGAGAGTAGACATTTATCAACCCTTGTTCTAAAAAATAAGGCCCAATAGATATTTTGAACCTTTTCATTTTAGGAAGGACTTTCCCCAACACTCCAATGAGATTAAAAAAAAAAAAAGAGGGATTACCAGAAACACTACATGATTCAGCCTGGCAGAGTTTACAGAATGCTGAATATGGACTCTGAAAGAACTGGGTTCAAATGTCTTTCCTGACATGCACACTAACTTCTGTCAGTCACTATTTCCTCATTGATAAAATGGAGATAATAATATTTGCAGTATTGACTTCAGAGTTGCTCTGAGACTCAAATGAATTGACATACAAAAAGCACTTTACAAATTTTAAAATTCTAAGCAAATGTCAGCAATTATTATTATTAGAAAAACCAATTTTTTCAATTGAATTTTATTTGGAAATATGAACATCAAAAGGGAATAGATAACATGAACATTAGTTTGGAATATATTTAACAAAGAGATGTTAACCTTCCATAAATGATTTTATCCTCATTACATTTTTATTTAAGTCTTGGGCTTTTTGTTCAATACTCCTAAAGTAATTTAATAATGTTGCACAATAATTACTTTACAAAATGTTAATGCCCTTTGGCCTTCTCTTCTAATATCAGACAGTACAATATGAATAGGAATAACACCTTGTTTTAATTTGGATGTCAATTTTTAGACAACCAAAAAGCTTTCAAGATTTTATTTCTTTATTTAAAGAAAAAGGATTTTCCCAACATGGAAGTTAATGGGGACAAAGGAAGGAGTTGTCTTTTGCATTTTTAATTGAACAAACCCTAAGGTACACAATTAATAAGTGAACTGTGTGAGTTTATATCCAGACATTCCAATGGAATGATTGATAATCACAAATCTTCTGGTCCTCTTTATCCTCACTGATTCATCCTATCTGATGTGAAAATTTTGAGTATAATAATTCCAATATGGTTCCAGCAGAGGAAGTTGGTGCCATGATTGAAGAAATAGGATCTTAATACACCTCTGTACAGTATGTGGGCACCACCACTTTCTTTAGTTCTTCCTCCCCACTAATCCAAAATAATCGGCAGATTCTGAGAAAAGTATGAAGAAATAAAAGCTCAAAGAAGATATAAAATTCTTACCTCTCTGGGGGAGCCATAATTTCAAAATCCCAAAATTAAATGCCACAAGCATGAACTTTATTAATCTATCACCATCAGTCCCTTTGCATAAAGGGAAAAACTCTGTTTAGGGCATTTGTTAGTTGTGCTGTATTTACCTTTAGAACTTCCTGGATATGTTCCTGTCTCTCTGCTTCTGTTATTCTGTCCACATACCACTTGAGAACTTTTATAAGATCTCTAAAAATAGAGGGAAAATAGGCAGTGAATGGATTTTTCCTAATTCTCATAATAATTAATAATCAATGTAAAATTCAAATACCCAAATTAAATATCTACTGTGATTGTTGGAAGGATTCTTTTCTTGTCAGGAATATCACTAATTGATGACTGTGGATGATTATAGGTCTTAACAGACCCTTAATTTTAGATCTGTCATGTTGCCAATGAGTAATAACCTCAATTTCCCCTACCTAACTCTGCAACATCATCATTTCTTCTAAAGCCGGAGAGGAAAAACTCTGCCTTAGCCTCTCCCCCCCACATGGATTTTCTTTATGCCCTCAATTTATATTATTTTTTTAAACATTGCTTTCAAAACAATTATAGTCACATGGGACAATGGAAAGAATGCTAGATTTGCTTAGCAAGGACTTGAATTTGATTCCCAACTCTGTAACCTGTGCAAACTTAGCCTAATCAACTTGACCACTCTGGGTCTCAGTTTCCTAATTTATAAAAATGAGAGAGGCAGACCGCTAAGGTTCTTTCCAATTTTAGACTTTTGGCCATTTTCATGGATAGATTTTTACAGCTTTCATGCTCTAAACCACATGGATGCTGCAATTACTTTGCCCTGTGTCACTCCAATAACTTAAGAGTCCTCCATTATCACTAAGTGCTCAGGGGCTGAATTTGATATCTTACTTGCTATGGAACCTGTTGCCATATATAGAGGCATTGCCTATTTTTCTACTCAACTGAGTCATTTGGGAAAAGCAAAAACAAACAAACAAACAACAATTAGCCTCACAATCTCTGAGTACTGAGATCCCCGGACTCTTATTGCCAGGACCCTATCCGGGACTAAGTCCTCACATACCAGGTGATCCAAGAGCCAAATGCATCTTCCATATGGAGGGTATCTTGTCCTTGGTTACATACTCCCTGCAGGTGGGCCTCTCCACTTATGCCCTTTACATGTGACCATTTTTATCATTTATGTGTGGTGTATTTGTGGAAGAGTATACCCCAGATTTATGGGGGAAATATTTTTGTGCTACTTTTATTACTATGCCTTTTCAGTAAATATCTTTCTTTGAGCCAACTGTGCCCTCTGGCTGCCTATTAAAGGTAAAAATATCAGTGAGAGCTCATGAGCTACAATTTTAGGGATGTAGTTGCACAAAGTACATTCAATATGGGGTAGCCATCCTGTGGGGGACCCATCCTAAATGTTGTGGGACTGGGAGGAGCTTGGGTGTTAAAACTGCCATTTTGGGATAAAACAAAAGAACTGGCATTGAATGTGAGTAAAGTCATACTCCTAGGAATGTAATCATCAGGGATTTACTAACCAATCTTCTTGCTGATGCACCTTTCTTTTCCTCACAGATGAGATTAAAAAAAAAAAAAACTGACCCTTTCCTCCACAACCTCAAGATCCCTGAGGGTAGAATTTTCAGTCATCTGCTATTTCATTCAACCTATGGCTAACAAAGTCCCACCTTTTCCTCCTTTAATCCCTGTGGTTTGGAGTCACCATATGCCAAAGCTAAAACTCCATCCTTCCTCAGTTACTACTCGATCAGGGCCCTCTACCTCAAACTCATCTCTCCAGATTCCCTATTCTCTGTTCCTCAGTCCCACTACACTAGTTGGATCCCACTGATCTATCATTAACACATTTCCCTTTGTCCTATCTCCCTGTCATACATTTTCCATCTCATAATATTCATGGAAAACTGGCCCTCTCCAGATGTACCAACAGCCCTGGTCAACCTTTCGCTACAGGACACCTCTTCTCTCTTCTCTGCCTCATCCACATGCCAACATACTGGGCCAAGAATAGTAGTAAATATATTTCTCGGTTTTCACTGCCAATTCCACCCCAACTCTTCTTGCTATCCTTTAGCAAACTCCCCACCTTTGAGGTCTCCACTGTCTATATCATTCAGTACAGATCCTTGCTACATTTATCTATTGGCCTTCAGGTTATCCTATCTCTATTCTCAAGAAGACTCAATACTTTGCTCATTGTCTTCCTCTCTCCCTCAATACTTCTGACTTCATAATTGTAGACTTAAATTTATGTATGTTGATGTCCCTTCTAACAACCTGGTTTCCCAGTTTATCAATCTTGTCAACTCCCATGACCTATATCTTTAATCCACCTCATCCACCCCTATAGGAATGGTCAAACTTTTATCTTACCATGACCTATAATAATAACACTACCTCCATGATCCAAATTCTGAAATCCCTCTCATGGACCAGGATCTCCTGTTCTTATATCCTTTACTCCTCCTAAACCTGTTTTTAATCCTCACAATAATCTCTAGTCTAATCTTAATTGGGCCCTCATTGACGCAATAACCATTTTTTCTTCTTTGAATGGCTTTCTATAATACTTACTATACTGATTATCCAAATGTCCTATGATCTCTGCATGCCCCTGGAACAACCTTCCCCTGTTCACTTTTAGGAGAAAGACTGCCTCCTATTTGACCAATAAAAGAAAGGGTCTTTCTATCATGAGCACTTTCACTGTCCTTGGTCTACACCTTAAAACCATTCTATATCACTCTACTCCCTATTCCTTTGCTTCAGTTTCTTTCTTCTATTTTTCCCTTGAGCTCTTTCTCCCCTCTTCTTTGAGACACTATCCTCAAACACCTCAATCCATATATGCAACCTTCAAACTCCTATATTTCTCTTGAGGCCACCACCATCCTTCTCCTTGACCAGGTTCCTAACCTAAAAGTCATTCTTGATTTTTTTTCTCTCACACATACCAATATCCAATCACTTGCCAAGGCTGGTCAATTCTACCTCCACATCATTACTCCAATCCGTCCCCATCTTTTAACACTGCCACTATCCTAGTTCAGCTCCCATCACTTCTCTCTTGGTACATTACAATGGTCTAACTGGACTTCCAATTTCTCCTCTCTCCAATCCATCCTTCACATCACTGCCAAAGTTTTCCTAAAGCAAAGGTCTCACTGCTATCCATCTGCTCAAGAATCTTCAATGGTTCCCTGGAACATCTGGGATAAAACACCAATGCCTCTGTTTTGAATTAAAACTCTCCACCAACTATTTCCCTTTACAGAGCTATTACAAAAAGCATCCCTTTATACTATGTGTCCTAGACAAATCGGCTCTTGACCAAACTCAGGTGTCTATGTCCCATCTCTGTGCTATTGAACAGGGTGTTTCCCATAACTGGAATGTTCTTCCTCCTCACCTCTGCTTCTTAGAAGCTTAGCTTCCTTCCAGGACCAGCTTATTCCCTCCTATCTGGAAGTCTTTCCTGATCTGCCTCTGTTAAGATTTTCTCCTCCCTTTAAATTCACTTATATGTATTTGTGTACATGTTGTACCTAGCAGTAATGTACCTAGCATGTTGTACATAGCAGAAGCATCTTGAGTTTCCCATTTTTGTTTTGTGATATCTGCCACAGTGTCTTCCACATAGAAATGAATTAATGAATGCTTATCAAATTGAATTTGACAGTAACGCGTCACTCATATCTTTTGCTCTCTGCCTTCAAACCTGGGCTTACTTTATTTCCTATGCCTGGCAAGTCTTCCTTATGTCTAAATCTGATAAAATTTTACCCATCCTATGAGACTTAGCTCAAACTACAATTACTCCATGAAGCCTTCCATTATACCCTCAGGCCACACACTTTTCTAATGTTTACTGAAAGGGCAAATTAGGTGCCTTAGGAGCATGAATTTCAGTTCAATTTAACAATTAAGGGGATAACTTCTAGTAGAAAAACTTGATAGATAGCCTTATAATAAGTGGCCCAGTCCTAGGATGCATTCCTAAAAAAGAGATGTACCCTAGAAACTGTTTGGGATTAACAGTGAAATCAAGAGGCATTAAATAAGTGTGTATATGTCTGTGTACGTGAGGCACAGTAAAGAGGACAAAATTTTTCCCAAATGCATTTATTTCCTCCATGACTTCAAAAAAGCACATTGTAGATTTATAGGAATATTGGGCTTGATGCCAAAGAGTGCTCTCACTCTTTATCACAGAATTCTAATTGTGCATAGAGAGTTAATTTCCACAGAACAAAATGTTTTGTCCAAAGATACAATTTTGGCCAAAGACATAATTCTGTTTTATTAAGGTCTCTGAAAATTATTTTTCACCTTGAGCTGGGGCAGTCACAGGATTATAGATTTGGAGAAAAAAGGGACCTTAGAGGCTGTTAGACCAATTCCTTCATTTTATACCTAAGGAACTGGTGGCCCACATCATTTTGGTGATTTTCTGAAGGTAACACAGGTTAAGGAGGAAGAGTCAGGATTTGAACCTGGGTCCTCTGACCCCAAATCCAGTGCTCTTTCTGCTTGATCAACACGGCTTCTCTAGTCTCAAGAGAATGCATGGGTCACATAGTCATTAGAAAGGTCAATCTCTTCCCTCTCAGTGAGAAGTGAATAAATGGAGATGCCCATAGGGCAGACAGCTGCTGAGGGGGCTATTTTTAAGACAAGGTGTTCCAGGGAGCTTTGACCACCTACAGTTTCACAAGATTCCATGGTACTTATTTGTCTGGTTAGGAATGATTGGTCCACTACTTCTCTAGCCAATCTGAAATGCAGGTAATTACACTCCTGCTCTCTAAATTCCAATTCCAATTTGTGCTTAGGCAGGATGGTAGAGCTGTGAGAACACCACTGACCTCTTTCCTGATGCTGTTGCATTTCATCCTGGGCATAAAATCACACTGACAGTAGAGCAAGCCATTGCCCATCGATTCAATTACACACAAAAATAACTCGCCTCATGTAAACATTAGAGTAGCAAATTTCAACACATAAGCCAGGAAATGGCCAAACCAAAGGCGCTCATGTGCCATTCAGAGTATTCGCATTTGCAATGTGTATTATTTCTTTTTGGAAACAAAAATGTGCTGTATACCCCATAAGGCAGCACAATAAAAACAAAACACTCTGAATGTTATTTTGATGCATAATTTGAACTGGCAGTACATGTGTATGCTAAGAAACTGGGAAGTAACAGGTAAAATCTAGGTCAGATGGGTGCATGTCTTATAGTTGCATTAAGGCAGTGCTAAGAAGGTCAGGCTAAAGCCTACTCCCTACTTTTTTTCCCCTTCTTTCTTTCCTTGCTGCTTTCCTCCCTCCGTCTCCTTCATTCCTATGTTCTTTCCTTTCTTTTCTTCTTCCTTTCACTTGAACTGATGAATTTCAAATTCTGAGTAGAAGATAATGACTTCTAATTTACAATTATCCTTCTGTAGCAGGGTGGGTGAAGCAAAGATTTGAGAGTTAAGAATTTTGGCTTTGGTTCAAATCTCTTAGGTAGTGTATGTGTGCTTAGAGTGTCAGGTCTGAAGTAAGGAAGACTCATCTTCCCAAGTTCAAATCTGCTCTCAGATGCTTCCTAGCTGTGTGACTCTGGACAAGTCACTTAACCCTTAGTTCCTCTTCTGCAAAATGAGCTGGTGAAGGAAAAGGCAAACCACTCCAGTATCTCTGCCAAGAAAACCTCAAATGGGATCACTAAGAGTTGGACACGACTAAAAAAACGACTGAACAACACTGCAAGTAAAGCTTTAAGTTGTATTAAAAATCAAACAAACATTGCACTCTGAGTCAAAAGTCCTAGATTTGAGCCCCAGATATTCCATATTAGCTGTGTGCCTCAGGTTAATCATGTCACCTCTCACAGTCTCAGGTTCCTCATCTGTAAAATGGGAAAGGTTCAGACTAGATGTCTTTAACGTAACATTTAGCCCCAACAACCTAGCAACTCGTGATTTTGTGGCTAGGCTAGACATTGAAGGAGACATATGCTATTTGCTAGTAATTATCCAGTGAGATAGTGAGGGCAGAGGTGGCAAAGATACAACAACTTTTCTTTGGAATCTGTTTTATTGTGTGCTGTAATTTTTAACTGAATGAGGAGCAAGAAGCAGTCTTCACAGCTAACTAATTTACTTTAGCATATATGACAGAGAAGGTAGTTTTTCCTCTTGAAGTTAGTCAATATTTCAAAACTGAAAATGAATGTAATTTCTCATGGTCAAGGAGAAAAAAAATGAGCCACCTTAGACTGTAAGGTGATGAATGAAAAATTAAAAGAGATAACGTTTAATCCTTTAGTTTCATATTAAGTTCAAGACTATAATTTAGGAAGCTGTTTTTTCCCTTGGGAATTTAAATAAGATGCAACCAGATTTTTTCATGTTGTAGTTGTTTTAAATTAGACTCAGACTCTGGGAATGTTACATGTGTTGTCCTTCATTTCTTCCTATGCCTACCTTTTAAATTTATATCCATGTTAGAAAGACTGAAAAAAGGGAAGCCAATTAAAAGATAAAAGACCTTACCTATATGCAAGTGCCCCAGCAAAATGACTTTCAATGTAAGTGTCCATTACGGGTTTGAAATGATGAAATTTGCTATCTTGCAGCAAGTTTATTATGTGAACCTAAAAGAAAATTGAGCCTTATTAAATTGATGCAAATCAAGTTCCTTTTGTTACCTGTAATTGAACTGTTATGCTCTCAATTTCATATTTCTGAAATGCTTTTATAACAATCATAACTGAGAGGCAAAATGATTAATATGCAATTAAGGACAAATTTATACTCACCAAAGAATCAAACACCTTTGACCCATATTTTTGAGAATTTTCATCTAAAATTCCAAATAAGGTGTCCAGGGTATCTTGCAGAAACTGTTTGCAGATAAAAATAAAATTCATAAAATGTCATTTTGTCCTTTTTGGTCTCCTCCACACCCTTTTCATAGATTTTTTTTTTTCGGGGAAGAGTTTACCTTTACTATCTCTGAGCCATCAATTTCTTTTATTTTGGAGAGGCAGCCTGTTATCTTGTCTGGATGAGTTCTCCATTTTAGAAGATCAAGCATATCTCCTATACAAAAATAAAAGGATGATAAATCATCACAGGAGACCTTAGTCTCTTCAACTGAAACACTGAACTGTTAAAAACCTGAAACCCCAAATAAGCCACAACCAAACACAACCAAACACAGAAACCCATGTGATACTGTTGTCAAGTCTAACTAGAAGCCTGTTAACACATCCCCATTCTAGGACTAGGAGCTTTGTATCAAGAGCCAAGTAACCAATATCATTCAGTGGAAATGGTTCTCACATTCATGGGCACATCAATTCACTGACCACACCTGTGTTTGTATAGGGAGTAGGAACAGTTCTAGCCTCGCCTGCGTGAATAAGTCAGTATTTGGAGAGCTAGATTATAGTGGAGTCCAGGCCATTCTGTTGCTACAATTCCTTTATCAATCGAGTGAATAATTTTTTCCCTGATCTTCTGGCCCTCTCTGGTGACAGCAAGGCAACCTGGTGGTTGATAATATGAAGTCAGAAGTTTAAAACACACATGCACACCACATATGCATGCACACATACGCATGCACACAATATATCTGAGATTTAATATAAATGCACAGCATGCAACAGAAATGTGGAAATACTACGGTATGACTGGCTGATCTTGCAACAGCCATGAGGGGGGAGAAAACTATTTTAGCATTCAGCAAACAGCAAAGAAAGGTTCACAGAGCATACATGAGGGATTTGCTAGGATTAAAAAAAACAAAACCCATATATAACTGAGAAATTTACTTCAAAGCATTTGTTTCAGGAGAAATCTCTCCTTGAGAGCCAGAAGGATATCACTAAGAAAAGGGGGAAAAATCTGAAGGAGTAGTTAAGGTTGAATAGGAAATTACATGTAGTGAACAGAAAGAATAAAAAACAAATATCTCAGGGAGACATCATGGGAAATAGACATGAGCTCAAGCAGTTAGATGGAAAAATGTAGAAAACATGAACAACTTCACAATGAGTTAAAAGCCTATAAATCTGATACCCTTAACAGAGAAAGAGAGGCAAAAATCCCCCAGGGATACAAAGGAGTTGGGCAAACCTATTCATTCCCTAAATTACTATATTTTAAAGAAGAGGTTTATGAGTTTTCCGTAACTCCAAAGTATTTGAGCTATATTTTCAATGTCCACATCTGAATGAACAATCCTGGGGTTTTGACCTAAAACTATCCTTATAATTACAAACAAATCATCATATTTCAAGTATTTTTTATTTTCATAACATACAAGAGTGCTAAAGCTGCAAAAACAGACGATTTGTTTTTCCACTACTCTGCTGTCTCCTTCCATTCCCTTTATGTTACCTTCAACATTTGACCCCACTTCTGGCTAAGTATTCCACAGTTATATTCCTTTACTCTTCTTTCCTTCTCTCTCTCTCTCTCTTTCTCTCTCTCTCTCTCTTTTCTTTTTCCTCTGTGCCTTGTATGTACTACCAACACCTCTTCCTCATCAGTTGAGGTCTGTCCTAGACAACCCAGATATTCTGTGGAAGTATGCTCCATGTAGGTGGGGTGTGGGCCAGCCAGTGCCTGGCATATAGCACTTAATAAATATTTGCTGACTACGATGGTTATAAGGGTAACGTTGGAGGGAGGAGTAGAAAGGCTGAAGTGTGATTGTCTCTTACAGGGATGGAAATAAAATGTCAAAAGTGGTAAGTGCATCCAGGGACACTTGCAAAGGTATTTATAATGACCATAAATTCATAGTCTCTAAAAACAGAAAAACAACAACACAGAAAATCATCTTTTGGGGCCAAAGGGAGGGATAGAAGGGAAAATTGGAGGATAATGACAGTGACACAAGAAAAAAAGTATCAATAAGACATTTTTGGAAAAAAATTACAGAAATAAATTCCTGAAGGGATACAAACAGGACAGTTTTATTCTTACCATGCTAAACTTATTATACACTAAAAACATTTATATGTAAAAGAAGCTCACAGACTCAAAAATAATCCTCTTTTCTGTCCTTTGTATGTTAAAATGTTTGTGTTTGATAAATAGATAATAAAAATATTTTTTTTTTAAAAAGAAAATAATCTAGTCCAGTTCCGTCTGTTTACAGAGAAGGAAAGGATGCTTAGCAAGTGTTAGGACCAGGACATGAACTTCAGTCTCTTTCCGCCATATCACAATGAAGTAGGATACTAATGGAATGTTCAATTAAGCAGCATTTTAAAAAAAAAATGGTAGTTATTTTACATGACATGTGCAGAGCGTATGAGACTTGCACCTAAGCCAATATTCAAAAATCCCTGATCTCTGCTTCAGTGACTCTGTCACAGGATATCTGTGAACTAGATGTCATGATCTACCACTCCAAATTTGAAATTCATCAGTTCAATTCAATCAGCAATGATTAATACTTTCATTGCAATACATACTAGACAGGATAGAAAAAAACAAAACAAAACAAAATTATTATGGGGTCCTTGCTCTCAACGTACTCATAATCTTCATTTATAATCAAGTCAACTAGGTGGCATACTAGATAGAGCGCTGGCCTTGGAATCAGGAAGACCTGAGCTCGAATTCAGCACCAGACACTTATGAGTTAGGTGACCCGGGACAATTGGCTTTAATCTGTCTTAGCCTCATTTGTAAAAAAGGGATAGTAATAGCACTGACCTCGGAGAGTTGTGATGCAGATCAAATGAGATCATTTATGTAAAGTGCTTTGCAAACATGTATGTGGTGTAAAGATGTTAACTATTCTTCTTGCTGGAAGAACAGAAACCACATCTAGCATACTTCCAGGGCTCTTGAAATTTCACTAAGCTTTCCATAATAGTGCCAAGATATTACATTTATTGGAAAACCTACACGACTAAGAGCATGTACTTCTATCTTAATTTGCAGAATAGTTATCTATGTACATGCTGACCAACTGTCACCAACAGGTAGATAAGCCTCAAAACCCTGGAAGTGGCACAGCACTGGTCCTGTTGTCAGTCCAGTTCCTGCAAAAATTATCTGGGGAACCAATTCATGAGGAAAAGTAGTCAGCTGTCCTTACCAACTGCCAACCAATTCCTAGCTGTAGGTCTGCTAAGCCAACCTTGCTGAGTTAGCAGAGTACACAGAGGAAAAGACAGAAGCAGCACAAGCCACTATCACCTCAACAACCACCTACCCTTAGGAGTGGTAGTGCCCTCCAAACCACTTTCTCCACTTCCATCCTGAGTCCCGAAGTCATCACTGAAGACAGCTATTACTGCGGAGAAGGGCCCTAGTTTCCTCTCCCTCATCAACACCAAATGCTAAATAATTGCCAGTGATAGAAGGCAAACCCAAAAGCCCTGGGAGTAGCAGCACCTCTATCCCCCCCCCACCCCACCAAAAAAAGCATTGCTCTGCTTCTAGTCCAGAATCTATCCCACCATCCAAGGAAGCAACTTCCGTGGAGATGTGACCTGGCAAATGTAGGTGCCACCACTCCTGAAGGCCCAGAAAAGAATTTTCTTGCCTTTAAAGTCCCTGGCACTGTCAAATGGCTCTACATCAGAAAACTATGGTTTTATCTGTAGAAATGACATTAAAGATGATATGTTGCCATTTGTACCCAGGGATCATGACACTTTTCCATCTGACTTGCAGCTGAAACCTTCTATACATAGTCTTCTCCATAAGAATGTGATCTCCTTGAGATCAAATGAAATGATATTCATAGCACTCTTAGCACAGTATCAGACACACAGTAGGTGCTATACAAATGCTTATCCCCTCCCTCTGCCTTCCTTTCCTTGGGAGTAATGTCTGTCTTAATTTTTCATTTATATCCCCAGTGATTAACATAGTGATTTGAACACAGAAATCATTGGCAAATGCTTTTTCATTCATTCATTCACATTATTCCATCATTGCTCCTATGAGACTGTAAGCATCTACAGTCAGGAGGCATACTTCAGTTATCTTTCTATCTCCCCCTACACCTAGTACATGGACATAATAAATGCTTAATAAGATGTCTACTTGGGATTTACTATTATAAATTAGATTCATTTATTTCCCAAACATAGTAGGATTAAATGTGAAATTGTTTCATGATAACATTATTCCTATTCCTATCGTTTTAATGGTATTAAATGAAACAGAGAGTGGCATTGGGGTATACATTCTGCAAGATCACCTTCCTTCCCCCTTTTTCTATTCAAAATGTATTACTAATCTCCTGCTTATTTTCAGCTGGATGTCTTCTTAAATGGACAAGTTCAATTAAGGTCAAAAATGATAATTTAGCATTTGTAAGGCTTCAATTATACTAAAAATACTGTATTAAAAATTGACTCAGCCTTCGACAGAGGCAGGCATCCAATATTTTAATCCCACATATCCTATATTATATTTATATCAAGCTGTAAATATTGTGTTCCTCTTACAAAATGCAGGTGTTAATTATCAGCCCCTGGTGCTCAGTATCTGTCTAAAATGCTAACATTAAGATTCTCTTCCTAGAAGTAATCACATATAACCTTAGTTCATTTATGGTAGAGAACTGATTATTGGTGAAGGTATTTCTAAAAATCACCAAAATGTATAAGGTTAGAAGTACTTTATAACACTTTACTGGGGGAGGTGGTGTAATCTAATTAAATGCCAACTCGGCTTATGGGACAGGCACATGTCTAATCTACCCAAGATGAACATATATCCTTTGATGGATGAAGTAGATAAAAGGGTGATTTCACCCTGTAACCTTCACATGGGCAGACTGATGGCCCTCATAAAAATTCATGAGAAATGGTAAGTGTTCTGCACTTATTTACAAAGTTGCACCAGTGGAGATTTTAGTTAATTGGTGATAAACCCTGAAAGGCATCATGGCATCTTAGATAAAGGGTTAGCCTTGGAGCTAGCAAGACCTGTATTCGAGTTGTCTCTCTGACACATAGAGTTATGTAACACATCAAATCTTAGGGCTCCAGGCAGCTCTAGAGCATTTTAAATTACAGATGAATTGAAAGAGACAGACAGACAGCAGGCACTTTTCAAGTTCAATGGAAATAAAACATGCAGCAGATCTGGAGAGAAACTAATAAAAAATGTAGAAAACTATTGAAAATTCAACTTGTATACATATATTCTGTGCTGAAATGGAAAGGCAATTTGAAGTTGTTCAATACCACAGCATTATTTTTCATCACCCATACCCTCTACCCTGCCAAACAGACAAACCTTTTTTTATTATTATAAATGATGGATCATGGAACAGGGAAAAAATCAAAAGAAAAAACACAAATACTTGTACACAGGAATATTTTTTGTGAAACTGTATCTTACAATATGTGGGTTGTTTTGTCAACATAATGAATCTGCCTTATTAGTCTGCCATTTGAGATGCAGGTCAGACATGAAAAGCTCAAAAAAACAATTCATTTACCTCCTTGAGTATAGACATTGTTTTCATAATGATCTACCAAGAAGATGGGCTTGCTTTATTAATCATAACTTGCTAAACAATCAATGACATAAAAAATAACGTTAAAACAGAAAAGCTATATCCATCTAATTAAACAAAACCAGCCTTTTATTCAGAAACCTGCAATAAGCACTGGATAAGGAACCATAAAACAACAGATTAAGGTGGGGCCTCCTTTGTTCTCTCTTGTTTTGAAGCAGCTGGGTTTTGATGGCTTATTCTAAGGGTTATACATTTGGTTTCCAATGTTGAGCTAATTTTAGAACCATTCTTAAATTGTGCACACTCAATGGATCATTGAGTTCCAGTTGTTTCCATCTTGTTAGAAAAGGCACAGACAAAAGGAGCAACCAGATTTTCTAGTGCAAAATCCTTAAATATGTCAGTGTTTATTTGGAAATGTCATTTATAAATTCACTGGAACAAATAGTTTTCAAAGAACCCACCTACCGTTCTGTGTGAGTTTAGTGGAACAGAGGAAAGATGTGATCCAAAAGGACTCTTTAGTGGCCTTTATTGCTTGATTATTGGTTCCAAGGAGACTGGCCTTGGAAAAGGGAAGTCTGAGGTAGCGACTAGAATCCTGAAGGTTTGTATTTTCTTCACACTGTTTAAAAAGCAAGGAAAAAAGAAACCAAATAATTTTTTTTAAGTAGAACTACAAATGACATTTGGCTTAAAAACAAAAAAGAACCAGACAAAAAAGTTCAGCTTGTTTTATTTACCATGATGTCAACAATTAATATAAAAGGTTCGTAAAAATTCTTCTATCCTGAAATAGCTAATTGACTTAGTGAAACTTCAATGATTTCAAGCTTGCTTTGGCAGTATATTTACTAAAATTTGAACAATACAGAGAAGATTAGTATAGGCTCTGTGCAAGGATGACATGAAAATTTGTGAAATGTGTTCTATACGTTTTCTTACTGGAGGGCAGAGGGAGGTGGGAGGGAGAGAATATGGGGCTGAAAATAAAGCTGAATATAAAAAGAAAGAACTTAAATGATTTCAAGTGTAAATTTTACAGGCTCATAATGAACTAGCTCTTTAATGAGGTCCAATTACTTTATAATAAGAGAACATCTGTGTGTAGATTAAAACTGCTTTGGAAACATTCAGTCACAATAGAATCAACAACAGTTTAAGTATGGAATCTCCTAAATGTCTCTGGAACATTTGTACATGTTTTAAAATTAATTTCATCAGTTCATCATGAACATTAAATCTTTTATCTAGTTTCAAAAACTGTGCTCAGAACATTATATATCAGAAACTTTGCCCATAAGAAAAAAAAAACTTACTATTTTATTAAACTACGATAAACTACCTCCAAAATACTCTGTGCACTTTCAAACTACAATGGCAAATGAATCCAAGGGGCAAAAGGACCCATTCAGAATAACTCTGTGCTGGCTTAGATAAATAAAAAAAAATTCTTGCCTAACTTGGGCATTTCAATGGCCAAAGTCCTAAAATCTTGATAATTTCCTATTAATTGTACAAACTTCACTCATGGTTCTATAAATGATAAAAGAATTCCTACAGGTGAAAAAAATCATCCCTAGAACTGATAAGCACGATGAGACTGAGAAAGAGATTGTGAATAGGGGTAATATTAAGTGAGTTCTGCAAAAACTGAAAAGATGGACTCATTTTGCTTTTGAGATTTAACTGAGGCTTTTAAAAAAAATTCTGTTAGTCATGTTGTGAAAGGAAACAGACAAAAAAATAAGAAAAATAAAGAAAGTAAAGAAAAACTATGCTTCAATCTGCATTTAGACACCATCAGTTCTTTCTCTGGAGGTGGTAGCATTTTTCATTTCAGAATTTCGTTTCACTTTCATTTCAGAATTATCTTGGATCATTGTATTGCTGAGAATGGCTAAGTCATTCACAGTTGATCATCACACAATATTGCTGTTACTATACATGATGTTCTCCTGGTTTTGCTCATTTCACTTTACAACAGTTCATGTCTTTCCAGATTTTTCTGAAATTGTCCTGCTCGTCATTTCTTATAGCACAATAGTATTTCATCACAATCACATACAACAACTTGTTCATCCATGCCCCAATTCATGTACATCCCCTCAATTTCCAAATCTTTGTCACCACTAAAAGAGCTGCTATAAATATTTTTGTATATATAGGTCCTTTTTTTTTTTAACATGCTGGGTATCAGAAATGAAGAGGTAATCCGTGGTTATGCCATGAGCAGTCAATGAAATATGAAATCATATTTCATCACAAAAGCACTCAAATTAAAGATTTGTTTCTGTGCATAATTAACATTAATAAGAATGCCACAGTTTCTTGGATTTTCTTAGAACCCAAAGAAATCTTACTCCTCTGGAGACCAAAGGAAGACTAAAGAAGGACCCTGAAGCCAGGATGGAGGCTAGTCTCAATTTCTATTCTATATTTACATAATATCCTTAGTAAAATTTCTAAACACCTCCTCTTCCCTGGCTCTTTGTTTTTGACATATGAAAAGGTAACAAATCATTTCTAAGTTCTGACCAATTATTTTGGAAACACTACAAAACAGAACAAGAAGAGAAATAACTAATGTTTTCCCCACAAACTATAGTTATTCACTTGCCAAGTGTGCATATCAGGGGGAGAAATTTAAAATCCAGATTCTCATTAATTTAGCTATGGATTTTAGTGGATTTTAATCAAAAGTGGGTAAAGTTCTAAAAAAAAAACAATTTGGAATCGCACAAGAAAAGTTACTAACTTGTCCATATTCTTTGATCCAGAGATTTTCTTATTGGAACTTTATTCCAAGGAGGCTATTGACTATAACAAGAAATCCACATGTACAAAGATATTCAGAAAAGCACTAATAATAATTTCTTTAAAATCCAGGGGAAAAATATGTACCCAACCATTGGTGAATGTCTAAAGAAATTATAGAAAATTATGTAATGGAATATTTCTGAAACATAACGAATGACAGATAAAAAGAATTCAAAAACATATGGTAACAGTTGCAAGGAGGGATATAAAACAAATTTAGAAACTAGAACCAAAAGTACAATAGAAGGAAACAAGCATTTTTTTTTCATTTTCACATTAGTCATGTTGTAAAGAAGATTTAGAACCAATGGGAGAAACCACGAGAAAGAAGAAACAAAAAGAGAGATAGAGAGAGAGGACAAATAATATGCTTCAATCTGCATTCAGACTCCATAGTTCTTTTTCTGGATGTGGACAGCATTTTCCATCATGAGTCTTTTGGAGTTGTCTTAGATCCTTGCACTGCTTTTCATGCCTCTCTTGGATCTTGTATTTGAAGATCAAATTTTTCATTGAGCCCTGGTTTTTTCATCAGGAAGGTCTGGAAGTCCCCTATTTCATTGAATGTCTATCTCCTCCCGTGAAAGATTATGCTCAATTTTGCCGGGTAGTTGATTCTTGCTTGTAATCCAAGCTCCTCTATGTTATGGAATATCATATTCCAAGCCCTCCAATCTTTTAATGTAGAAATGCAAGGTCCTGAATAATCCTGATTGTGTTGTCATAATATTTGAATTGTTTCTGGCTGTTTGCAGTATTTTCTCCTTGACCTGATAATTCTGGAATTTGGCTACAATATTCCTGGGCATTTTCAATTTGGGATCTCTTTCAGGAAGTGATCAGTGGATTGTTTCAATGACTGTTTTACCCTCTGGTTCTAGGATCTCAGGGCAGTTTTCCTTGATGCTTTCTTGAAAGATGCTCTCCAGGTTCTTTTTTGATCTTGACTTTCAGGTAGATCAAAAATTCCCAAATTATCTCTCCTAGATCTATTTTCCAGGTCAGTTGTTTTTCCAATGAAGGAGTTTACATTTTATTCTATTTTTTTTTCATTCTTTGCATTTTGTTTGACTGATTTTTGATGTCTCATAGAGTCATTAGATTCCACTTGCCCAATTCTAATTTTTAATGAATTGTTTTCTTCAGTTAGCTCTTGTACCTCCTTTTCCATTTGGCCAATTCTACTTTTTAAGGAGTTGTTTTCTTCAGTATACTTTTTTTTTCATTTTGTCAACTGTATTTTTAAAGAAATTCTTCAATTTTTTTTCTGCCTCTCTTATTTGACTTTTAAAATCCTTCTTGAGCTCTTCTAAGAAGGTTTTTTGGGCTTGAGACCAATTCATATTCCCCTTTGAGGATTCAGATGTAGGTATATTGACAATGTTGTCTTCTCCAAAATTTGTGTTTTGATCTTCCCTACCACCATAATAATTCTCTATGGTCACTGTTTTTCTTTGTTGCTTTTTGCTTATGATGTTTGCCTTTTTCCTGGCTTTCAAAGTTAATTTCTGCTTCTGGGGCACAGGGGGCACTGTCCAACTTCTTGTCCTGGGGGCTTGGAGCCTGGTTACTGGCTTTGTGTGTTGGGGCCTCAGATTCTGGCAGCTGAAGGCTGTAGGGGTCTGGTAGCTTACCTGGTGCTGAGCTGGAGCTGGTAGTGGTGGCTGGTATGTGCCAAGGCCGGGTCGGTTTTGTTTTGCTTTTGTTTTGTTTTGTTTTGTTTTGCATTTCCCCAGGATTACACTGAAGCTTGCAGGGCAGGAGGTGGAGGTGGGGGTGGTCTGGCCACTGGAGGTCACCTCCTCTCCCAGGGCTGTGCTAGAGTATGGGTAGGTTCAGTTGCTGGTGGATGCCTGTCCACCAGCACACATGGGGGTTCTCCACACTGGCCTCTGCCTGTTCCCCTGGCTGTGCTAAGGCATGCAGGGGGTGGGGGGAAATCCTGGTGTTGGCACTTGCCTGCTCTACCACCCTAGGGCTCAGGATCTCCACTGTTTTGCTGAGGTGGCACTTGCTGCTGGCTTGTCAGGACACCTCCCAATCTGTAATGGTCCCCTTCAGCTCCAGCAAGAGTGACCTTTCCTGTTAATCCCCCTAGCCTTCTAAGCTAAAAGACTGCTACACCCCATCTTTTGGCTGGCTCCATGGTTCCAGGATTTTTTCCTGGGGCAGTATTTTCTGTGTTTTTCAAGGTCAATAAGGGAGAGTGAGAGTGACTTAGTGCTTATTCCACCATCTTGGCTCCCAAAGTCTGAAACAAGCACTTATTTAGCATCTAATATGTGCCATACATTGTACTAAGCACTTTACAGTTATTGTCTCATTTAATCTTCCCAATGAAGCAGGAGCTATTATTTTCCCCATTTTACAGTTGAGGAAACTAAGGCAAAAAAAAGTTAAGCGACTTGCCCAATGGTGGCATCATTATTTGTGTGTCTTAAGTTGAATCTGAAGACTAACTCCAGGCCCAGCACATTACCCATTGTACCACCTACTTGCCTAATTTACAGCCTGTAATGATGACAAGTCATCACGAAAGGGCAAGAAACTCTTATTCAGATACAATAGTAAATGTTAGTGTCCTCTGTTCAAAGCTAAAGGATACACTCCTCCTTTTCATTTTGCAAATGACAAAATAGTTTTGAGAAGAATGCATTATTTGTAAGGAGTTGTTAGATGGATGTTGAAAAATATCTTCTGTACTGAAACAAAATGCATAAATAATTTTTTAAATTTTTGAGAAAAGTGGATTGTTGGTAATATTTACTAGGTATTTTCCAGACTGGCTTATAGGATCACAGATCCAGAGCTTACCTAGAGTGATCGCAGAATCATAGATTTAGATCAGGAAGGGACCTCAGACATCATTGAGTCCAACCCCTTCATTTTATAGTTGAGGAGACTGAGGACAAGGAAAGTAAAATAACTTGCTCAAAGTCATCCAGGAAGTAAATGGCAGAGCAGGAATTTGAACCTAGGTCCTCTGATTCCAGACTTAGGGCTTTCTGCACTGTGCCACACTGCCTAAAACCTTTTGCGGACTCTTAGAATTGGAAGGGTTATCATCTAGTACAGAGGCCCAATCCCCAGTTTGGCAGAAACCAGATTAAAATGTAACTGGGAAACTTTTTTTAAAAAAAGATACAATGCAGCATAGATAATGTTAATTTGTGGTTTTCTAAGTCAATTTGCAGCTTGCCAGGGTCTGTTTCTATTTTGAATTTGATATCATTGATCTAGACCAATCTCCTACCCCCAAATAAACATAAAAGATTAGTATTTTTTTAAAAGGTGTTGCATGTAAAGATACTTTTACTTAATTCTGTTTTTCCTAATAATCTTCTTGATAAACAACTTGATATTGGAAATTTTTGTATCCTTTTTTCTAAACACTACAAGAAAGATTTATTTACTAGGGCACTGCAAAAAGCTTTAATCTACTACCATGATTTTGTAGTTCTTCACAGGCTAGTGAACTCTAGTTGATTTTACCTTATGTACGATGAGCTCATGTGTGCCATCTGGAAGGGTCCTACCATCTTCTTGCATCAGAGGAACAAAAGAGAAGCCAAACAATTTTTTCTCACCTTTCTCTTTTGCTGTGTAAAAAAAAATTAAGAGGAATTATATACTTAAATAAATCAGTAAAAGTAAATATTTATGTGTCTAAACTTTATGTTTACAGACATGTAATTAAAAAAAA